CCCCCGCGTCCATCAGCCTTGCTGGAAGCTGTATCTTTGCCATCTCTGCCCCTCCATCAAGCCTGTTTGAAATCCAGCAGCGGGTTCAAAAGTTGTCGTGGGGCAGGGGGAGGCAGACAGCCGTTCCCTGGGAAGAGCGGGGTGAAAAAATAAAGGCTGAGATTCCAGGGCTGTAAGGAAAACATCAAAGTGTGGACGGTGACAATAAAGCTGCACCGCCGGGCTTTACACAAGGTATCTGCTAGCGAGCCTGGCTTTGCAAGGCTTGGGCTGTGAGCCGAGACCTAATCTCGGGGCAGAGCACGCCACTGCCCGGCCCTTCTCCAGCCCCAATACACACCCGCTGCGTGGCAGAGGGAGCCCAGACACGGAGGATGATAAACCAGGGCCAGCCCCAGACTTGCCCTGGGGGCCCTGCCAGGCCCTGGCATCGCCAGGCCCCGCGCTCGGCACCTTCCAGCCATGGGCAGGGCCCGTCAGCATCCCAGGGCAGAAGCTGTCGGGGCAGGGACACGAGGTGGGACAGTGGGAAGGGGACATGGAGGCTTTCACCCCGCTCCCGCTGCAGGGCAGGGGATGCTCCGGCAGCCAGACCCAGCTCTGGCTCCCAGAGATGCTCCCGTGAGCCGTGCCAGGGCAGAACGCACCGGGTCTGGTACCAGATTCTCAGGGGAGTTTTGCTGCAGAGCAGAAGCTCCACCGTGGGTGCTCGGCCCGTGGAGCATCTCGTTGCCCTCCCGGAGGTGCCAGGGAGCTGTCAGGGTCTCCGCTTTTGGAAGGGCTGGCTTGGCTTGAGCATCCTTACTCGCTGGCATGGGAAGGACGGAGCATCCCCAATGCAGGGAAGGTTTTCTGGCAGGGAAAGTTCCCCGGGGTTGTCCGGGGGGACAAGCAGCAACTGCTCAGGGAGCGCCGGGGCATGGGGCAGCCTCAGCCCGGCTGGGATGAGGATGAGGAGCTGCAACCCACTCTGCTGCCCAGCTTCCCTCGCCGTGCACGGGGCCAGGGCCTGGTGGCCCCCACGCTCCCCCCGGAGCAGTGTCTGCTGCCGCCGTGAGTGAGCTGCTGCCCGCGCCTCGGGCAGGCAGGGGACACCAGCACCGTTTGCTTTGGACACACGAGGAAAAAGTGAGCGAGAACAAACAGATCGAAGGGTTTATCAGCAGCCCAGGGTAATATTTGTACAAACAGTGGATTAAGGCACTGGCTGGGCTGGGTGAGTATTGCTTGTCCCGTGACCAGGACATGGTGCAGGATGGAGCACACTGGGCGCACTGCTCTGCCCTGCTCCAGCCAAAAAGGGGCAGGGACAGAAAATGCAATGACAAAGGGCAACACTTGTCCCTCGGACCTCCCTGGAGCATCCCAGCTGTGCGAGGCAGCCACCCACAGCTGCCTCCCCTCCCGCTGTGCGTGCAAGGCCGCTGCAGCAGCCTGGGCTCGCCTCGGGGCTCGGCCCGTGCAAAAGCAGCTCCTGGGCCTGTTGGTGCAGGGGCCGGGTGAGGAACAAACCCGCTCCAGCAGGGATCTGCCCGGGAAACACTGAGCTGCTCCTTGTGTGGCTTAGGCCAGCGTGGACCGCTGGGAACACGGACGCAGGCAGGAGCCGGACCCAAAACCACCCGCTGGAGGATGCGGCAGCAGCCGGGGGCGCAAGGGAGGGAGGGGAACGGTGACGGAGGGGAGCAGGGGGTGCCCAGACGGCGCAGTCCCACACCACGGGTGGAGGAGAAGTTCCAGGCAGGGGCACCGGAGCAGATGACACAAGCGCCACGTCGCTCCTGCAGCAACTCGCTCTGCCCCCAGCAACTCGTGGATGACGGCGGGAAGCCAGCAGGAGCCCTGACCCTCCTGCACCTGGGCGGGTGCTTCGCAGGGTGCTCTCCCTCCCTCGGAATTATTGGCCATGAATTGCTTTCGGAGGCACCTGGCGCTTTGATGCTCTCCCCAGATCTACATAAGCACGCAGATACGGATGCAAAGCTATTGCGGGCACACAAAATCCTTCACACTCACTCACTTGTTACCCTCGAGGGGGGGCGGGGGGAGCAGGAGTTAAAAGCATTACTTGTGAGAGCTGACACTCCAAAAAAGCCAGGCAGCCGCGTTTGTACCGCCACAAAAACCCGACGCCACGAGGCTCTGACCACGTCTGGGCCGCTACAGGTTGGGAATTCCCAACGAAAAACATCAGTGAGGCTGAAATCAGCTTGTTTCTCCCCAGAGAAACTCGGGCTGGCGTCTCCGCGGGGGCCGGGACAGCTCTGCCGCTGGGTCACCGGCACGGAGTCCCCCATCGAAACCACAGCGGGACGCTGGCCGAAGGGAGCGGGCGCAGAGCGAGCGCTGGTCTCGTGGCTGCTTGGCAAACAGCAGCCCTTGGCCGCTGGTCCGCTGTCCCGTGCCAGCCCCACGCCGTGGCTGGGGCCGCCCGAGCCAGGCTGGCTGGCTGCCAGGGTGAGCAGACACCTCTGCCCCGCTCAGAACTGCGGAGGCAGATAAAGTGGGTGTTAAATCGTGGAGGAGTAAGAGGGGTAAAACCCCGACCTGTTTCCAGCGGCCTTTGCCAAGGGTTCCATCAGTACAACCCTTCCAGCCACAAAGCCCCGCGCGAGCAGCAGTTACAAACGTTTTGGTCAGAGCACGAAAACGAGCCTCAGCGCAGAGCGCGGAAAACCAAACCTGCTGCTGCCTCCCCCAGACATGGAAGCTGGAGGCCACTGGGACGCTGCCACCAGGGCAGGAGGGCTCTGAGGCCACATAGACCCCAGGGTGCTCAGCAAGGCAGCGGCCCCGCGGTGCCATTTCCAGCTGAAAATATTAATTCAGTAAGGAAGGCGAGCCGGCCTCGGTGCGTCACAGCGCATATCCCAGCAGCCATGGCAGCTCCTCTCTAAATGTACATCATAACAAAACCCGGCACTAGGGAGCTGCATGACTGATAAAGTGACACCTGAGGGCAATAAATTTGAATCTGTTCCCATTAGGGTTTCAGAGAAACACTTGATCTTATCTTAAAGAAATGCAAGTTTATCTGCAGCAATTGCTTTGTCTCTCTTTCTGCTGTTACTCATTATGAAAGGCTTGCATATCATAATGTCACAATTGAGCTTAATTAGCAGATACTTAAATGCTATCTACCGAGACTGATCCGAACAGACACTCATTGTCTAAGGAACTCTTGAGGTTCAGGCCGTGTCCTTATGTACCTTCTCCCTCTCTGCAGCAGCAGATGCTCCCAACACCTCCACTGAGCTGCACCCAGACTGGAAATGTCGACACTTGCTCTGGGGGCCCCAGCTGAACACTCCCATAGTAAAATCACTTCCTCAGATGAAGATTCCCCTCTCAAAACCACAGCGAACCGTTAAACCCTCTCTCTGCCAAAGGCGTTAACCCCTGCCCACCACGTTACGGCAGACGGAGCAGCGTGAGGCTGCGGGGGGGTTGCAGCCACCTCCCCCCAGAGCTGAGCCCTGTGCTCAGCACGGAGAAAAGGAGTTCAAACACCTGCGCCACGACCCGGCGGAGGAACCCGCCACTGCGTCTCTCCCGAGAGTTTTGCTATTTCTGGCAGCAGACCCAGAGCACACTGAAACTTCTGCAGCGACCAGGTGCTGTGCGAGGGACCTGCAGAGGTTCTGCCAGGAGGGCTCATGGCACCTCAGCCACTGGCTTTCAGGGGAGCCCAGCACACAGCATTTATCCGAGGGCTACACACAACCACCAGAATGAATAAAGGACAGAAGACGTTATTTATTGCATTAATCTCCAAACCAGGAGACTCAAAATGATTTTTATTTCTCCCTTGTATTGCATTTCCGTAACTTTTACAGTATTAAAATGATTAACAAAAGCATAAAACTGGAAACAAAAACAATCATTGAGAGTGTCTCCTCCGGCACTCCAAGGCCCATCGTCAGCAGGAGCTGCGCTGGTGTGTTGGCCCCCAAGCAGAGAGGCTGAGCCTCAGCCCTGGTGACAGGCCACGCTCTGCTCTCAGAGGGGAGTAAACGGCCTTTCCCAGGAGCAGGAAGGCACTCAAGGCATGGGCTACTTTTAAGCCTGGCTGGTGGGAATCCTCAAGACAAGGTCCTGGTTCTTCACTGGACAAGCACTCTCAGGGCACGTGCTTTAGATGTCCATGTCAAACTGCTCTTCCTCACCTGGTGGGAGGGACAAAAAAAACCCCAAAAATGAGTCCTCGAGTTTCACATTGAATACCAAATATTTTATTGAAGAAACAACCGCCAGCTGTGCTGTGGAAATGTGGCAGTTCGGACTTAAAATCTGCATGCAGACATCAAGCTTGCTATGAAAACCATCTTGTACGAGCAAAATGTGAGCTGTCTGTAGAGAGGATCTCAGACAAGAGCAGAGGCAGAGGAGACACCCTTTAAATAACACATTTCTACCCCTGGATTCCCTTGTAGAAAGGAATGTAAAGAATAATGTTGATGACAACCACTGGTACAAACTTCTGTTACCAAAGACACCAAAGCACATCTCACAGCTTCTTGTGCATCCAGCTGCCAGCACAGCTCAGCAGGGGCCAGCGAGAGTGGAAGATCCCTCCTCAGAGGGACAGGGCACCCTCCCTTCCCCGGGGGACAGGGCAGCACTGGAAAGGTCACAAGCAGCTGGTACCCAGCACATGCCTGCACTGGTTTGCCAGAAGCCAGGGAGCCACTAAAGGTCACAACTGTGTAAAAAACACATTAAGCAATATTGACCCCGGAAAGATTTTGCTTAGAGCGAGCGTGGAAGCCAACTAATGAGCATCCAGACCTTTATTTTTAGAAAGAAGACAAACAATCACACTTGGTGGTTTCAGGGTGCTTCAAGAAGCAATCTCACATAACTTTTTAAAAAAAAAACAAAACAAACAAAACCCACACACTGAGCAGCTCATGCTGCTTCTACAGCGCCTTTAGGTGTTTGGGTTCACAGAGCGGAGTCTCCTCCCGTGGACCAACCTCCCTCCTGCTGCTTCCTGCACCCGCAGCCCCGCTGAGCCCACGGTGCCGGGTAACCGAGAGGCCCAGGGCAGGTTTTATATCCGGGCTACATACGCTGTGCTCACTTGGGCACCAGAAGCCTCGGTGTCAAAAAAAGGCAGAAGGAGCTTAATATCAGGCTGATATTAAAAACCCCAAGCAAACCCCACTCTGAGTTGTCATCTGATCTTTTTCAAAAACGCAGAGCAGCTGCGAAATGGTCCAGGGGAGGGAGGGAGAGAGAGGCAGAACCAGCTGCTCCCACTCTCACCACGGGACTGTTAATCCAGTGGCAGTTTCCCAAACACTGAATTAATGAGAATTAAAGGATTGTAACAAATTACACCTAACTGAAAAAAAAGTCACATTACTGGGGACTGCACAATAACCATGAGAACCTAATGACCTCCTAACATCAGGCACACTTTGATTTTGCAAGAAATTATCAGCGTATTGACCAGAGCTTCTAGGGATCCCCTGGCACCGTGCCGGGGGGAACTCTGGTATTTCCAGGAACCAGCAGCATGCGTCAGGCAGTTTTCACGTGCACTCACCTGTGCTCACTTTCTCATCACAGTTTTGGACATGGTTGTTCTCAATCTTCGACTCCTCCACATTAGGGCTGGTGACACCTGGAATGTCCGGAAGGTCAGAAGGTGGCGTTTTGGCAACCGGAGAATTGCGGCACTCCATCAAAAACTTACGATCGTAAATAATCCTGGTACCTGGCGGGAGACAAGAGCACTGTCAGCTTTCAGCTGTGCTAGGCACGAGCACAGCCAGGCCACTGCTCAGCGACATGGGTAAAGCACCACGAGCCATAGTGAAAGCAATACCCGTTATTTAGCACTTACTCTGGTTGTTCCGTGCTACCTTCCAGGAAAGCCAGACACCATGAACACCCTATTTGCCAAAAATGCACGAAGGTACCCAAGTAACAGCTACTGCCACCACTCTGCTGCACAGAAACAAAACTCCCAAAACCCAGACGGATGCCACATGCCATCGATCCGGCCCCTTCCGCCTAACTCAAGGTCACAGCAACACCCAAGGGAAACAGTAACATGAGTATAATTTCTGCTCATAAGCAAATAAACAAAACAGGCTTCTCTAAGTTGTCAGGGGTGGAGAACTGTGGGCAGACACACGCGCAGACATCAGGGAACAGGACGTGGCGGTACCTCCTTGTGTCACCAAACACTGCCCAGCAGAAATTCCTGTGCAGGAGTTTGCTTTCGCACCCAGGCACTGGCTGTCCAGCACGGCTCCACACGCCTCCAAAAAGTGTTCCACACCCCCCAAACAGCCGGTGCACAGCCAGCTGCCAAGGCCCGTCAGGGTTACCCGGGGCACAGCCTCCACGCCCGGCCCCGCGTGGGGCAGGGCAGCTCCAGCGTGTTACAGCGAGTCTCCAGGAGCAGAGCTGGGCTCCGGGCATGGATTTCTAGGAATACCAGTGTACGGAACAGCCTGTTCCTTCTGACGGAATTGCACTGGAAGGAGCTCACAGACCACACACAGGAAAGCGATGCCTCCAGGCAGAGCACAGCCTTAACCCGTCAAGTACTGGAAAACAACTTTTCCCTTCCCCTGGAGGGGGCTGCCAGCCCCCTCTCGATCAGGCCCCTTCCAGCGACAGGACAAGGCAGCTTGCCCCGTGTGCTTCCTGAAAAGCTTTAACTGAAAGGACACACGTGTGGAAAACAATCCCCGCTAACATCTGTCCTGGAACATTGAACTGACTTTATTTTGAAGCATGGCTATAAAATAACGTAACCGGGTACTGTGTTTCAAGAAAATCCTGCTAACGAGTTCCCAAAACGCTGACAACCTTTTCAGTTAAAGACGGTGAATGTGAATTCCTTCCCCAGCTCTGAGGGGAGACGCAAGCCAACACAGGAGTGTGCTCTAGCAGCGAGCTGGACTGGAGGCAGCGGCCAGTCTGCCAGTTCACATTGAATTCCCGGGAGGCTCAGAGAGGCGAGGACGGGGCTTCCCAGAAGCACAGCTCACGTACCGAGTACCGGGAGCACGGTCCGGGCAGAGAGGAGCTTCTACGCCTGGCTGCCGTCCCTCTGACAGTCACATGCCCCGAGCTGAGGAAAGCAAACACCCTGCAGACAGGCAGAGCTGGACACCCCGCGGGGCTGTCAACAGGCAGCCCGAGGCCATAAATGGGCTCCTCCGAGTTAGGAGCAGCTTTGCTCCTTAGCGAGGGAGGTTAGGAGGGGTTTAGCAGGGAGGACCACACCACTCCCTGAAAGCCCTGGTTATACCACGGCTCCAACACCCAAGTGCCTCGCTGGGCAGCTTGGGAAATCTGAGTGAGAATTTGGTTCACTGCGAGAATCTTCAGCAGGACGAAACACGAGGTTTGAAGCAGCGGCCAGGACAACATCCGGCTCCTTCCCTGCCCAGTGCCCCCACTGTCTCTCCAGTCCTGAGCACGGGCACGGCGTTGCTCCATGGGCCATCCCATCCCACCCCATCCCCAATCCCACCCCATCCCTGCCGAATGAGCCAGTGGCTGCGCGGCCGAGCCAGCTCCCCCTGCCACAGGCACGGCCAGCTCAGCACCACTCACGGCAAGCGCTGCAGCTCGCCGCACCGCTCAGCTCCTGACACCCCAGATTTACTTAAAGATGATGCCTGTGCCCTCAGCAAGCGGGCAGGGAGCCGGGACAGGCAGGAAGGGAACACACTGAGCACAAGCTGTGCTTAAAGGTCACACATCACCCCTTCCACACTCCCCCATGCTCCTTCGTACTGGTTTTGGTTTACCTCTGCTTTCAGAAAAGCAGCCACTGCCTGCGCTGGCAGAGGACAGGGAATTTCCTCCCTTCCAGAGGGGATCATGGAGCCTACAGAGATCTGCGAAGGCAGCTGAAAAAGGAAAATCGAGTCCTTTCCTCCGACTGTTGGCGCCAAACCAAGGCCCAGACACCACAGCAGAACTCTGCTCACTCCCACCAGTCCCAGGACAGGCCCTGCTGCCCCCTGGCTTCGAGGGAGGAGGCCTCAGCAACACAGCATGGGCACCCGCCCTCCTCCCAGGGCCCCGTTGGGCCAAACTGCATTTCAGGATGTCACTGCAGCACCTCTGGAGACTCAAAAGCGATCTGCCCCAAGAACTTCATCCCAGTGTCGTGGAGAGGAGGAAAAGCTTGTGGTTTTGACCACAGGCAGCAAAGCCAGGCCAGGGTAAAGGTGGTAATGAAACACCTGACCTGCAAGCGCCCGAGGATGGAAAAGCAAGTGCTGCCCTGCTCCTTGCAGGCTGGTCAGCTTGGCTGTTGGGTGCCCAGCACCCAGCACACCACGGCCGGGGGGCAGCACCTCCCCAAAGGCCTTCAGCCACCCAGCTCCACCGCTGGGGGTTCCCAGCTCTGGCACCAAGCCCTTTTTCCATCACCCACAGCCCCAGTGCTGCTGACAGCCAAAGGGATGACTTCAGGGATTACAGGCCTCAATTCTTCTCCAAAATTAGTCAAAGGTTTCGCACAACGAGCTTGATTTGCTTCTTTCTTCTGATTCTTCAGACGTAACCTATGGCTTTGCAGGAAATCTCAGACTGTTTTCAGTGGGCTACATAGGATAAATGTTTTCAAGAAAATGACCTAAAATGAGTGCTTCTGATTATTTATTTTGACAGCAGTCAGGGCTGCCATGCAAAGTATTCTACCTGGATGAGTGGCTACATGGGCCAGCAGAACACAAAGAGAGCACAGCCCAGGAAGCAAGAGAGGCTCTCCCAGTCCAAGCTGGCCTGGCCCCAGCACTCCTTCAGGTGACACTTTAGCACATTAATCTGGGGAGTTTCATGGGAAATGCTAAATGTTTTCACGAGAGCTCTTCCAGACTCTACACAAGGAATTCTTTGCAGCAGTGACCATGAAGGTGGACTAACAGCCCAAGGCCGACACACCCCCCCCCCACCTCCCCGCCAAGTCCTTCAGGAGTTTTAAATCATCCCCCCTTGGAGCACCCCAATTCAACTCCTGAAGGCGAAGAGCCAGCGCCTGTGGCCGGACCTCGGCAGCACACGTTGTCCTCAAACAGCCTGGGAACAGAAGTGCCGCGCAGTCACAAGAGCACTGTGGGTTTTGCCAGGTGTGCACACCCCGACAACAAACACCATTTGCTTCTCCTCCCCACTCTAGACATTCATTAACTCTCCAGAGACAAACTGAGATGATAATCCTGGAAAGCTCATTACGCTGCACAGCGCTGTTAATTAATTGTTAATTTCTATTCGGTTTCTCAGAGCACATGAATGCAGCTGAGAAAGTCATTCTCCCAGCTTCCACAGCACAATTACTGCAAGTGCCATTTAAGTACTTCAGTTATTTGCTGCTTTCAGAGAAGAGAGAACATATGGCAAAAATAACACAAGAACTTCAGTTCCCCAACTAAGCTTTTCTGCACAAACACAAAAAAACAAGTGAGTCAGCAATGCCGACTTCCCCCTTCTCTCTCAGTTTTAACCCCTGAAATACCGTGTTGTAGGGACCAGTAGGTCTGAGGGACAAAGAAAACACCATCCGCCACCTCCCATTTAGTTTGTTCTTTTGGCTAGACTTCAAGTACAGTTTCATCATTCCTGCTGCTCACATTGATCTTTTATGTAGCAGCGTGAAGGAAAAATTCTTAAAGGTATGGAAAAAATTATCTCAAACCACCAATCAGCAGGAGCACAGGCAGCTGCCGTGGCTGGAAATACACACAACTGATCTGGTGCCCGGTGTCATCATCTGGAACAGCAGCCGCTTGTCTCAAAAGCCAAACTACTCAAAATAAACCGACGCTCGAGCAAGCGGTGTGGACGCAAAACCTTTGAGATGGTCGAGCCCTGCACGTTGTGTCCCTGCTGTAGTACACAGAGACACGTGAGGGTGGCTGAAATAAATGCCAAGCTTACAGGTTATGTACCTGCATGTGTCCTTACTGCCCCTACTCCGAGCAGGGGGCGAGCACTGCTAACCCCCCCAGTCACGGCACCCCTCCTATCTGAAGATCAAATCCCTAAAAGAGGGACCGGTCTGCTCCTGGAGGTCACACAGAGCGCAGTGACAGCAGCACAAGACTTGCAGCAAAGAAAGAGGGAACCAGCCCACTTGTCTTTCTGCAGCAGTGGAGTGCTGCACTTTCAGAAGTTAGAGCAACTTGGGACAAAAAAAGGGCCCAGAGTTTACTTACTGCCAGAGGAAACGGCAAATATTAGAGATTAGAATTAATAAGTAACCCAAACTGGAGGGTGGGTTTGCTCCCTGCAAGGCTGCCCAGGAGTGCAAACAGCAGCCTTGTTTTACAGTGCAGGCACCCAGCAGATGCTGTTTCGCTGCTCCAGCGAGCTCCTGGGAAGGAGGGAGCCCCCCAGTTCCCCTGTTCTCCCCCCGAGCGCAGCAGTGGCCAAGCCCCCAGGGAAAAGCCTGGCTCTGCTAAGCCAGACCCTGGCCCCACCCCAGCCAACACATGGGGCTCCCAGGTCACCCCCTCACAATGAGAACCCCCAGCGCCAACTCAGCCCCGAGATGAGGATCCTCACACAGCTGCTGCCGACCAAAGGGGGGTGTCCGTCCCGACCCCCCCCCGCGGAACTAGAGTCCCCCCACTACCCGAGCACCCCCCAGTCAAAGCAAGAGCCCGCCAGTCGAAGTGGCAGCCACTCCTCCTGCATCCCCAGCCCCTCTACCCTCCCCCTGCAGGCGCCGGGCAAAGCTAGGGCTCCACCCCCAGCTCCCC